AGGCAACTGCGAAAGTGGCCGCTCGCGAAGTGAATTCCGGAGGAAATTAAAGAGCATCCGGATCCGGAGAGAGGGAGACGGCGAGAGAAAAGGGAAGGGAGAAATAAATCAGAACGTGGAGAGGATCCGGCGCGGCCGCGAGGAAGGACGGCGAGAGGGAGCTGCCGCCCAGGCGAGCATGGGGTGAGAGGGGCCGCTTCTCTCGGGCTTTGCTTTCGTTCTCCATGGCAGCTGTGCTGTTTTTAAGGCAATTGTTAAAGAAATGAAGGTTTTAAAATGCGGTTTTTTTTTCCCCTATTGCAGGCTTGAAAGTTTAGGCTTGCCTTTTATTTTAGGGGGTGGAAGGTGGGTAATTGCAGCTCTCTGCAACTTCTTTAAATAAACTGGTGTGTGAAGGAAGGCTCCAGTGATCCTGTGTTGGATTAAATCTGAACTGGAGGGCGTGGGGGGGTTGGAGCTGGGCAATAGCTACAAACTTTCTCAGAAGTTACAAATTACCGATTTTGCCTGGTGCAGTGACTGTAGCAGACAGCTCAAGGGGTCCTCTTTGCGTTTCTAAAAGGATAAATAGCTGATTGAAAATCCCTGGTGCTTACGTTTATACCCTCCGATTTTCCCAGGGTGAAATGTGCTCTGTGCATGTGGCAGCATTTTTTTTTTTTTTTTGAATGGCAATAGGAGCTTAGCCTGGTATTTAATTCATGCCCTAGTTAAAAGCCTCAACCGTGTAATTTTAAGGAGCTGACATGTTGTTGGGAGCTTCTTGTGCAAGAAACTCTTCCTGGGCACTTGAAAGAAGAGCAGATCTGTAGGAAACCTGTCTGATCGGCTCACCCAAACACTTGGTTAAGAGAAATAAGTAAAATTCTTAGTGGCTTGTCTTCTTCTTGCTGCTTTTTCTCAAGGACTACCCAGATAAAAAGATTGAGCAGTAAAACACAGCTTAAAGAGGCAGAGAAATCCAAGTGCCACCAGGATGACTGTCATGGGTCCTCCAAAGCTGGCGGGGTGTGAGCGGATCCAGGTGACATCAGAGTGTCCCTGTTCTCCTGTAACTTTCTGGTGATCCGCAAAGTCACTGTAAAACTTCTGGAATTGCCGGGAAGGGTGTAGCAAGCAGAAAGGTTGGGACTAGCGCTTTGCTCTTTGGGGTCCAGGATGATTCCTGCTTGGACCCCGAAGCTCGGTGAGTTCTTTGGAAGGCTGCCAGTTCCCATGAAAAACGTGGAGACTCGTGTCATCGCCGCGGCTGCTTGGAGTTCACTGTGTAATTATGGAGCAGCAAGGCTGTTGTTAAACCAGAGGTGACATTTCCACCCCAAGGTCCTGATTTTCACTTAAAATGCCTGAGATAGTGCCTTTTTGCTTGCACATTGATCATGTAGGAGCACTGAGTGGCTTTCAGCAGCATTTAGATTCCTCTGGGTGCAAAAGAGATTAGCAGAGCATCACCTCTTACATCACTTTCTGACAGCTGATTTTAGTTAACTTGTTTTTAAAACAGGGGCCCTGGTTTTCGTTCCTCCATGTTAGGTTTCTTTGTAACATGGTGTTCGGGTTCTCCTGGGTAAAGTGTCCCTGGACTCCTTTGTCTCCCCTGCATTGTAGGCATCAATGCGTTGGCACTTCCCCTTTGAAGGGCCTCGTTGTGAACAACTCTTGATCCTGACAGAAGGAAATCTCGTTCTGTCCTAGCTGAGCCTTGGGGAGACGTTTGCTCGCGTTTCGGATGAGCGTTACTGACTTTCTGCCCATGATAGTGACAAATACAAGCACGGGTAGATGTCACTTGCTGCTGATTAGTGCGGCGCAGAGTTTCTCCCTTGTCACAGGTATCAAACAGTGAATTTGCCCGTTCTTGTCCATCCTGCCGTCCCGGAGGCAGCTCCGAAACCGCAGCGGAGCCGCCGGGAGGCCGTGGAGGGGCCGGGACGGACACGCGGCTCCACCTCGGCTCCCAGTTATTGCTGCTGTTCTGAGAATCTCTGAGGAATTAGATGCAATCCGGCTTTGCTGCTTTTTGACTTTAAGTGCTTTCCAGCCTTCCAGCAGTGGCCTGTGTGTGTCAAAGAAAGGGCTGCTGAAGCTCAGCAGAAGTAACAGTTGTCCCAGAAAGCGAACGTGCAGATCGTGCCGTAGGCGCCGCGGCGCAGCGAGCAGCCCGGATAGGGGTTTCCAACAGGAGAAACGTCTCGTCCGTGCTGGGTCTTCAAGCGCCCCGATGCCCTTTCCCTGCGCCTGACCTTGCGCGGCTCCGGCGTCCAGCCGGGATTCCTGCGCTGCCCTTTATCTGCAGGCAGCCTGGGAGGCGGCTGCTCCTCATTCCTGCGCTAAGCCCTGCCGGGTAATCCCTTGGGAATGGGGGAGGCAGCAGGGAAGGCGCCCGCGGCCGCTTCCAGCGCCGGAGCTGCCCTGCTGCTCCTCCGCTTTGGGCTCTGGTAACGGTGTCCTGGGCGTCAGTGCCCGGATTCTTGGCAGGCTCTATGGAAGCTCCCGCTTTGTGCTCCTTCGCAATGGAGCTGCTGTTCCGAGGGCTCCGTGGGCAGCTGCCCTGCCCGAGCTGAAGGGTTTGGGCAGAAACGCAGCGGGAAGCAGATGAGTTTGGCTCTGGGTCCCGCTAACCCACGTTTCCTCCCCAAGCGTGCAGTGGCAGCAAGAGATAAAGGGAAACAAAGAGAGCGGGGTGGGGAGGAGAGGGAGGGTTAGTTCTCCTGCCCTTTCCGTGCCCAAGTTCTGCTTCTTGAACTATGGCACTGTGTTGGTCTGAAACATAATTCTTCCTCTGAGCGAGGAGCGCGGAGGGGCCGGGCGCGCTGGGCTGGCGGTGCCTTTTGGACCAGGTCGCTGTCAGGAGGGCACCGCTAATTCAGTTGCCCTGAGATTTAGGAACCTGCTGAAGAGACCGAGCCTTTAGCAAGGGGGGTTTTCCTAAAGTGGCACAAGTTGCATTGGAAATACCCAGGGAAGGTAGAAGCAGTAAAAACAGTTTCCTCTAAGGAGGCCGTGCAGTGTAAAGACCCCAATGGGCGTCTGAGACTGGCGCTGCGGGGAGAGAGCAGGAAAAACCTGGGGAAAAGCACCGGAGCTGCCACAGTGCTGGGGAAGTTCAGCCATGCAGCTCTTCATCCGACCGGGCTTCTTCCTTAAAATGGGAAAGTGTGTCCTCCTAGGATTCTGCATCCCTGTCCTGGGACAGTCAGGGGACAACCCCTCTTGGAGGTGACTCTTCTCCCTTTCTGCTGCGGATGAAATCCTCCGGGCTGGTCTCAGTGTAGCAGCACATTATTTTAGGTAATAACTTTTTATTGGCTTCCCCTTAGGCTTTTCCACAAGGAAGGCAGAGCCGTATCCAGGCAGGACCCTCAGGAACAGTCCGTGCACCCAGTGATGTACATGCTCAGATTGTCCCAGAGCAGGGGCCCAGCACTGGTTTTTACTCTTCCCTGGACTTTCCTTGGTTTTATGCCCTGCTAGGTAAGTGTGGCAGTGATGCCAGGGACCGAATTGATGCCATCTGTCCCTCCTTGGCATAGGGCAGCGCTGACAGGGTCCCCATCGTAAGTCACTGTGCCCTGAACCCGCATCCTGTGAGTGAACTCGGTTCCTTTGGCTTGTTCAGGCCTTTGCCCTCTGCAGTGACTGTAAACTAAGGGGACAAATAATGATTTGCTGTCCTGGAAATCGTGAAATAAGCAGCTATTCATTAAGAAATCAATTTGGATGCTGTAGTGATGGGTATAACAGAAGAACCAAAGTGGAAATGAGACCAGCATGCAGTTTTACACGTTGTTGTGATGACTGATGAGTCAGAGCCCCCAGTCAGTGACCGCGTTGGAGACGACTGATCCCCGTGCTCCGTTCACACGTCCTCTCCAAACACCCGGTCACCGTTTTCCAGCCCCTCTCTTTGAGGATAATCACCAGAATCGCATGAAATTGCATGAAAAAGCTGCTAGAACAGCCAGGTCAGTTAGATCACCCCTTCGTTTTGCTTTTAGCTCTTCCATTTTGCCTGGTAGCTGGATGTCTGCCGCGAATGTTACAGACCATCCATGGGGACAGGTCATTTTAAAGCTATCAGTGGGACGTGGAATAGCTAAATTCTGCCCTTCCCCCTTGGGCTGGGAACAAATGTGGCAGAAACAAGACCTGGCTCCTCTCCAATTGCCATCAGGCACTTGCTGATCGTGTCTGTATTTAAGCCAGATCTCTGTCCTTTCCCTCCTTTGCTTGTTTTTTTCTTAATTATCTGCGAGGGACATCCCTGGGGGGATGTAAGTGGCTTTATTTACACATGCCCTTTTCAGTGCAATGTCTGTATTGTTGCAGGGACTCCCAGCTGGGAGCAGGAAAAGAAGTGTCAGCATCTAGTGATGTGTGGAGTATCCAGCATGTGCACTTAAAGCACAGAGGGGAAAAAAGGGCCGTGGAGAGAGACAGAACATGACAGCTTTCTTCCTAGGCACTTGCAAGACTATTTTTAAATGCTTTGCAGGGCTTGGGGAAGCCAGAGGTCAGCGGTTTGGCCAGCAGCGAGCGGGAGCAGCCGGGCGCTCGTGGGGCTGTGTCCGATGTGTCCGTGTGTCCGATGGGGCCTCCGGCACCTGCGCTTCTCCCGCACGGAGCCCGGAGCCGGCAGCGCTGCCGCGGAGCCGCGGGGGCCCCGGCTGACCCGCTCGTCCAGCCTCGTTAGGGCTGGGGATCCGCAGGACCTGCCCGCCACCCATATTCCCAATTCCTGTTCCTCGCTTTTCCTTTCTCTCTCTGAGCTCTCGCCGCTGCCTTCTCCCTCTTTCTGTTTTTATTGTGCTCCAGCACTAAGACCCCGGAGAGGTTTTGTTTGCTGGGCTTTGCTCTGACCTTGCCAGGCGAGTAAGTGAGGGCTGAAGGGCAGGTACCAGTGTAGCCCGGAGCCTCTGCAATGAATTTCTTGTATCAGCAGGATACCTTTTGTATTGTTTGCTGGATTTAAAAAGCAGATCCTTTTCCCCTTGACGCCAGCACGTCAAAAGGAGCCCGACCATCTCTGTGCTGCTCTCAAGCAGAGCACAGAGTCCCCCGTGACCGGTACCGCGGGGCTCGAGCGCTGGGCTCCGTCACTGGGGACATGCAGGTGGGCAGCATCGAGGCCCGTTTGCGGTGACGAACGGGGAGACATGGGGTAATTGCAGGAGATGCCACGTGTTTTGCTCCCTGTGGAAGTGCGTGAGCGCAGGAATCCCGGCCCTTGGCAGGCGGGGGAAGCTGCAGACCTGCCCTGCTGCTGCTGCTCCCATTT